AAGAAGCCCCATAACACCGGGGCACTAAACACAGCGAGGCTTCGCCCGCTCCCCGACATAATTACCCCCGATATATTAATGTATTAACATGCCTATTATTACCAGATATATATATAGATTATGTAAATATAGAGAATCACCGCCAAACTGGGCGGCAGCGCAGTCAGGGGCGGCCATGACCACAACAACCACCTCCCCTTACTGGGCCATTACCAGTACTCACTAGTACTCTCATCATATCACAGTACATGACGATATTTCCCATCCAAATTTAATCAAACCCAACAACATTTGTGTATTTTGAGAAATTTCAATTAATATATATAGTAACCTATTCAAGCAAGGTGAACATATCTAATATATTTTTAACTTGCGAGATATAGCCTAGCATATTCTAATTATAATAGTGTAAGCCAGTCTTTACTTTGTATTGACGTAGTGTGCTAAGATTAAAGATGTATTAAGATTAAAGATATTTCGCTATACCGAAACGTCGTCGTCTTTTCATCTTCTAGTGTGAGGTTTGGTCAACAAAGATGTATTAGGCTAACCTAACCTTGGTTAAAAGGTGTGTGAGCCACTGCTTGACAGTTTCCTTCTAGACTGTGGCTATACACATTAAAGTACCCAATGGTCATTAACTCTTACTGTTAAGAGGAAGGTGTCGTGAGCCTGGTGTACACTGGGGACCCTCGCTGATCAATATACCTTGGTACTGACGGCCCACCATTGGCCCAGAACCACCAAAGCTCAATACTTCTCCCTCTCTCCTCCTTAATAACCCATGAACACCCGTCACCACCCGAACGAGTGGCGCCTTTTCAACCTGTCTTCTCGAATAATAAATACATCGTTTATTAACGTAAAAATTTCCAACGTCAAAATATGATATACTATAAATTAGGGCAGCTCGCTAAATCGACGGGCTGCTAAGTTTTGTGTTCGTGGGTCCTCTGCTAGGTTAGGTTCGGGCGATTTAGTATATATTTTATGACGTGACAATTGGAGAGGCCGGGCTGCCGTGCCAGCGCAGCCAGAAGCCTCAGGAGTCATGTTGCTCCATAATAGGACCACCACCACCACCTGGGGTGGTATCCCTCTCTTCCCTGGCTCACTATGTGCACCTCACAAAGGATTACAACAGCATGAAAACTTTGCTGGACGCCTTGTGTATGATGAGTATGTCTGGGAGGTCATACTTGGACACCTATCACGCTCGTGATAGGTGTCCAATGCGGTGTTACCAAGTTTCCCAGCTGGTGCAGCCTTTGGGACAGCAGGTACACCAAGGCCCGCTGGGAGTCTGGCGGGACTGGCCACAGTGGCCCGAGTTCTGCGTGCGGAGAACTACGTCAAGTGGGAGCCACTTGTAGACCCCCGGAAGGGGCCGAGTGCTCAGACGTCCACGGCACATCATATTGAGCTGTGAAAAAATATGTCGCAGCTCTTCATTAGGAGTGTGTAGCCTTCAAGTACCTTCAAGGCGTCTTCCTTGGCCATCTGTGACAAAGTCAGTGTCTTTGTTCGACCACAGATAAAGATCCTGAAGTGCAAGTAATTTCCACAAAGCTCACAAGGAAGGAGAAAGGGACTTAAAACAGGTTTGTCTCAGTGGTCCAGAGCTTCCTTGGCAAACACAAGGCCTAAAAGTGTGTGGAGTTGGTTGAGAGTCTGGTGAAGAACTATGGCACAATGGGCTGCAGGAGTTACCTCAACGTCCATATCTTTCATGGTCATTGTGATCAATTCAAGAACATGGGAGGAGAAGGGCGAGAAAGCGCTAAGCCAATTTTCCAATAGAGAACTTGTAAGGGATATGAGGACAAGGTGCTAAGATACAAAAGAGGAAAGAAATGGTGCCCAACCACTTGGACCGTCGAGGATCGAACGGAGAGCTGCAAGAAGTGAGGTCGTGGTTGTACCGACCAGTTCAGTAACAGTACGCCCTTCCACCAGGATATACTGGACTTTGAACACCATTAACAAGGACAACATATTGAGCACATGATGAGACACAACATTTGGGGTGACTCGAGATAATACTTTACAGTATAATCGTAAATCTTGACAAACTTCTCCTAAATCTTCTGTGCTCATATTCTTATAACTTTAGTGGAAATACATGTTCATTTTTATCCATATGTTGTTTTTCTGACTGCGAACGAAAATATGCAAATTCACCCATTTTTTTCGTTGGAAAGACTTCAATTTCAAACTATGACTCTCCTGGGAATAACAGCCATTTTCTATATTTTTTTAAGCATACCTATTAGTAAATAACACTTTAGTGCTCAGGAAAGCAAAAAATTACATTGTGTGTAATAATAGTAATATTATTATATACGTATTATTGTCACTATTATTATTATTAGTAGTAGTAGTATATCAATAATAATAACAAAAGCATTAATAATAATAAAAAGTATGGTAATAATAATACTAATAACAACAATAATAGATGTGTTAATATAGGCGAGGCTTCACCCCAGGGAAGATGGCACACGCCTGACAGCAGCACACGCCTGACAGCAGCACACGCCTGACAGCAGCACACACCTGGCAGCAGCACACACCTGGCAGCAGCACACACCTGACAGCAGCACACACCTGACAGCAGCACACACCTGGCAGCAGCACATACCTGACAGCAGCACACACCTGACAGCAGCACACACCTGACAGCAGCACACACCTGACAGCAGCACACACCTGGCAGGCAGCACACACCTGACAGCAGCACACACCTGGCAGCAGCACACACCTGACAGCAGCACACACCTGACAGCAGCACACACCTGACAGCAGCACACACCTGGCAGCACCTACACCCCCACACTCGCGCCTCACCCCTCACTAACTCATAATGTGATCACCACACTAACTTCCTGCACGCTGGCAGCTCCACCTGGGAATGATAACCCGAGTCACCACCACCGATTTTTTTATTAGTACGTTAGGTACATCGGTATTTGTGCAGCTGCCCTAGACTATATGAAGAGGAGTACAGTGTCAAAAAGCTAGCTACGTGATGCTAAAAAATCCCCATCACACAGGATGGTTAGTCATACAGAGGCATGTGATCAGTAGTCTACACTGACAGACTCTGGGTTCGTTATGAGGATATCATCAACACAAGAGTGAATAAGGTAACAGTGATGAGCGTGGCCCACCTGTCAACTCTACGGATGTTGCTTGTCACATTCTAATTACTTGCAGAAGCCTAGTCCTTTTCAGATATACATTTTTAAAATTTAACCGCTGTGACACTAGATAATTAGTGTATGGGTATACATTGTATAAATATCAAGGAGAGAGAGAGAGAGAGAGCACATGACCTAGATTCGAGGTTAAAGGCCAGGATCAAGCCTCTCATCTTTGCTTCACCATGAAAACAAATCGTCCATATATAAAAATTTTAGTTACAAAGCCTAACATTTTCCCCAAATCTCCGTAATAGCACAATTAGCTTAAACAAAAAATATGACCAAGCCATTATGCTAGGAATATACCAGTAGAAAAAGAGAATAACCCTTATAGCAGACTCCGGCCCGCATCATTATATAAACATGTGACTGGGGCGAGACACATGGCTATGTTGCAGGTCGCAGCCAGGGAGGAGGAACCTGCCTTTAGGGGATTCACTGGCATTCTCTTTTTAAAGGCTGATTCAGTCTTACCAACCCTAACTCCCTCACACCTCCTTTATTACCTACCTTCCTTCCTCCTAACTCTCCCTCACATCCCGTATCAATCCACCCTACCCACCCACCCCCCTCACATACCTCCCCACCTTACCCATCTCATCCTCTCTATCCCTTCCCCTCCCACATAACCCCAACCGCCCCCCCCCACCCCTCCCTCTCCTCCCCCCACCCATGTAAGGTCCGCTCATATTTTCAGTGTCGTCACAGCATTATTGGGATTACTTTACTGTTCTGACCTTTGTCAGCCACGACGCAAAGGTCACCGCTGGGCAGAAATTAATAATTATACTAATGTACAAATAGTCATTATACGACTGTTTGTTATTGTCACGTGAACTCTCGTACGCACGCACGCACGCACGCACGCACGCACACACACCACAAACAACCTCCACCACAACTACCTACACCACCACTAACAACCTCCACCACAACTACCTACACCACCACTAACAACCTTCACCACAACTACCTACACCACCACTAACAACCTCCACCACAACTACCTACACCACCACTAACAACCTCCACCACAACTACCTACACCACCACTAACAACCTTCACCACAACTACCTACACCACCACTAACAACCTCCACCACAACTACCTACACCACCACTAACAACCTTCACCACAACTACCTACACCACCACTAACAACCTTCACCACAACTACCTACACCACCACTAACAACCTTCACCACAACTACCTACACCACCACTAACAACCTCCACCACAACTACCTACACCACCACTAACAACCTTCACCACAACTACCTACACCACCACTAACAACCTCCACCACAACTACCTACACCACCACTAACAACCTTCACCACAACTACCTACACCACCACTAACAACCTTCACCACAACTACCTACACCACCACTAACAACCTCCACCACAACTACCTACACCACCACTAACAACCTCCACCACAACTACCTACACCACCACTAACAACCTCCACCACAACTACCTACACCACCACTAACAACCTCCACCACAACTACCTACACCACCACTAACAACCTCCACCACAACTACCTACACCACCACTAACAACCTCCACCACAACTACCTACACCACCACTAACAACCTCCACCACAACTACCTACACCACCACTAACAACCTCCACCACAACTACCTACACCACCACTAACAACCTTCACCACAACTACCTACACCACCACTAACTACCTCCACCACAACTACCAACACCATCACTTGTCTTTCGAGAATAACCAGAATATCTAACCTTGGTTTACTGAGCAGTTAGATAGGTAATTACCTTGCTTGTGAAGTGTGGTTAGGTCGCGTGTAGTAAAGTAGTTCCCCCCTGATGCAGGGTGATGGTGGTAGTGATGGTGATGGTGGAGAGCGCGGCGGCGGCACACCCTACTCCCACCGCGGCCACAGCTACACTGCCTTACTTCCACTCCTCCCCCGCTGTCCCCTCACTCTCACTCCTATTCTCCCCCTGGTACTCCTTGGTACTCCTTGTCCCCCCTTGTACTCTGGTACTCCTTGTCGCTCTTGTACAGTCTGGTACTTCAAGCCTCCCTTGTACCTCCTGGGATTCCGTGGCTCCTTTGTACTTCATGCTTCCGTTGTACTCCTGGTACTCTATGGTTCCCGGTCTCACGAACTCCCAAGTTACTCCCTACGTCTTAGAAACTCCCTGCCTCCCTAGGAGTCTGAGGTTTCTTGCGTGTCTCCTTTAGGGTTTGGTTCCTCTCCAGGGCATCCTGCCTCACAAGCACACCCAACCACCTCGGGTCTCCTTGCATCCTTAGGGCCTACTCCTCTTAGAAAACCTGCTTCCGTGGGAAACCCGACCTCCCTTGGAACACTTTGCCTTCCTACCCATCTTGAAAGCCCTTTCCCTCAGAGTCATTGCCTACCCTAATATCTCCCTCTGACTTCCTCTCTCCCTGTCTAACTAGAATTCTTTCCCTCTTTCCCGCCAATCTTCTTGCCGCATTTGATCATCTACCCAATTCTTCCTCCCTGTTCCGCAATCTGCCTGCTTCCCCTGAGAAAAGTTTCTTGTTTCATTCTCTTTCATGGTTATACATTATCACATTATGCTGTCTCCGTGGCGTAGTGGTAAGACGCTCATCTGGCGTTTCGCCAGCGCTTTGTCCTGGGTTCGTATCCTGGCCGGGAAGGATTTACTGGGCGCAAATCCTTAACTGTAGCCTCTGTTTACCTCTACAATAAAATGGATACTTGGTTAGTTAAACGATTCTTCGCGGGGATCGTATTCCAGGGACCATAGGATTAAGGACTTGCCCGAAATGCTACGCGTCCTAGTGGCTGTATAAGAATGTAACATTTGTATATATAAATAAATTAATTAATCACGATGTTTTAACTGTTTGCACTTACAATTTACCTCCATCACTTCTCGCATATAGGTGAGTGACAGCCTAGTATCCTCAAGGTTAGATTAAGTGACAGCCTAGTATCCTCAAGGTTAGATTAAGTGACATAGCCTAGTACGTCTTATACTTTCTGAGGATATTGAACGGCCGTGGACCTCTGATCGTCATACAATATTCTCTGTACCTATGGCAACTTTATTCTTCACTGGTTCTTCTGCATTTCCTGCCATTTGTTTGTTTCAATATGTAATTTTACTGTGCAAATTTAGGACCTGGCCTTTTAGTGCTTTCCACGTATGTGATCTCTCTCGTCTCCTTTCCAGAGAATACATTATGAGAGTTTTGAGACAGTCCCAATAATTTAGGTGCTTTATCATGTCTACGAAAGCCATATATGTTCTCTGTATTCCCTCTATTTCAGAAATTTCTCCCGTTCTGAAAGGGTGAGTATCAAGCTGTACTCAAGGCAGGAATTAAATAGTATGGGCATTATGATGGGATCCCTATCATTTTCCTGGCTGACACTACTTGCTTGGTTATGCTCACTAATGTTAAGTCATCAGACTTCACTATTCCCAGAGCCTTTACATGTTGCTTTCCTACTACCAGTAGATCATATTGTATTGTACCTTGTATTTAATTTATATTCTTAATTTTTTTCCATACTTAAGCACCTGGCGTTTATCCCTGTTAAACAAATGTTATTTTCCATTGCCCAGTTGAATGTTATTTATATTGGCTTGTAGCTCTCAGTCCACTACACTGCAAAACTTCAGAAGTAATTTTCATGTTGATTTTTGTCATCTGCAAAAAATGACACAAAGAGGTAGTGTGGATAAGGAATAAAGTAGACTGGATGAAGATTGTACTTAGTGACAAATTTATCTTATGAAGATCATATGTAGCCAAAATCATTATGCAAATTAACCCCCCCCCCTAATTCCCAACGTGTTTTTGTGTAGTGAACATCATGTGTAAGAGATGATCAATGATTAGGGTAGTAGTTAGGGTCACATGTAATGAATCTTATGTGTCGTTAAATCATTTTAAAAACCATTACGCCAGTATAAGTATATAGAAGAATGCACAGAGGACTGTTGCACAGAGGTTGACCCTAAGAGCTTACCCACAACCATTTATAGCTAACAACATATGGAAGTAGGAGTGTGTAACATACATAGGTCACACACAAAGGATAACAAAACTCTACAAAAAAGTCAGTATTGATTTAATTTTTGTCTTTACACAAGGTGAAATAAGAGCATTATATACACCTTTAACTCTGTACAGTGAAGCCATTCACATATTTATACACAAAGCCAAATACTGTATCAGGTCATTAACAACCTACATACAAAGCCAGAACACTTATCATTCACAAATTTAAAGCACCTTACAATTACTTTGGACAGCTCCATAAAGTACTTGACACTTCATCACATTCTGAGTTAGTGTGGATGAAGCATTGGCCCCTTATTGAGCCTCTGTATCACAAAATTTACATTGGCCGGTAAGTAATTTCATGTAATTTATATATATTTCAATTATAACATAGGGTAACTGTTTATATTTAAAAATAATCACCCACCCCTTATGAATGCTTAAAAAAAAAAAAAAAAAAAAATTGCTCGAAGTAGTGTCACATGTTTAGTATTTACAGTGGTTGCAAACAAATATATTGGAAGCATTTAAAAAAATAATACAATGTTTACAAAGCCATTTATGGTAATTACTGAAGTCAAGTCCCACACAGTAAACAGGATCAATATTAACGAGTTGGCCGAGTTACGACGTGTCAACGTACAATTCTCACTTGTATACTTGAAAAAGGTGGGTGTCAGAGGTAATGCAACAAGCTTCATTAGTGTTTTAAGGCCAAGAGGCAGGCACTGGCGGCAACTGCTACTGACTGTGGCACACCTCTTGTAGTTAATCAAAGTTATTTCAACATGCTAAACTAGTCGACACTTCTGGCCCAGAAAGTAAACCCCCAACAGTGTACTTGACAGAACATTTCCTGTGTTTAATATCTTATACAAATTAAGAGATTAAATGTGCTTTATCAATTGCTGCTTTTAGATCCGATACTTCTCCAGTATATACAGTATTTGTGTGTGTGTATACATTTGTGTATATACGCATTGTGTGTTTGTGTATAAAACCATATTATTTATATATATATATATATATATATATATATATATATATATATATATATATATATATATATATATATATATATATATATATATATATACATACACACACACTAGTACATACATATGTACATATACTGTATACAAAATAATTATGCATATTTAAAACCCGATACACTGCAAATATTCTCCACTCACATCTATTTAGTCATTTCACACCTATCATGGTAAAAGCAGCAATAACAATAATAATAGAAATAAAACAAATGAATTAAAAAATAAATATTTATTCAACAATTCATTATCAGTTGAGTTATTAGACAAATTGGCCCGCAAATTATACTAAGAGTAAGTGGGAGTCAAGATGGTAAAGGAATAAAGGTTGCATGAAGGCACAACAACTCAGGTTAAGAAGCCAGTGAGGAGTCATCAAGGTACACAAGACGTAAGACAAGTCAAGGTAAACACACTCAAATTCTCCAGTGTTAACAACATCATACAAGATTTGACAGAACTCATATTTGATTAGGACTACAAAAAATTTTCAGATAGAGAGAAATGATTGCTAGATATTTTCTATCAAGAGTTGACACCCATCATTAACCAAGGCCAGTTGAAGCTAGATTATATTTTGCTTAAAAATGTTTAACATGTTTATGATGGCTCTGGAACAAATTATCAGAAAACCTGACAGCTTTTACAAAGTATCTTAGATGTTTAGCGAATGTAACCTTGTAGACACACATTACCGATGGTGACCGACATCTTGTGGGAAATGAGTAACTCCATGAGGTGTACTATCTCTACAAGAGATTAAATACTTTGCACTTGCTCATTGCTTACCCTCTCTCTCTCTCTCTCTCTCTCATAGTAAACATCTATGAGGGAAAGCATCACCTGCAGTTAAGATTGCCAATAAATTTTAATTTCAATATAGTACAATAATTAACATTTAAAAAATAAACATTTCCAGCCCAAGAGCAAGTAATGTTATGACCGAGAGCGGGGTAGAAATACCCTAAGCTACTCTATCCCTTTGACATGTATTTTTTCTTGTCTCAATAAACATACTTGAACTTGAACTTGAATGTTATGACATCAGAACCCTTTCCCATATTCCCTTCCTCTGTCAACACATCTAATACATAACCAACTCTTTCCAACAATTAAGTTTCATTGCATGTAACACAGACTTTTTGCAGAATCAATTTGCAAATATCACACAAAGATGTAATGCAGACTTACTTGCATAAATTATTAAGTACACAGCAAAGACAATATTCATGAAAGCTCTATGCCAGCAACTTTCTTGGCTGTGGCATGTTGAAGACATTGCATTAACTTTATTGTCAGCCTTTCCCGAGCCTCGGAAACAAACTACTGAATCGAACTCACATTTGGGAAAATTAGCTTACATGCTGCATGGCATTATAAGCCACATTTTGGTCATGGATACTGCCACTTGAAACTATTTTATTTCAGTCTGTCTCAGCAGGCTATAGTAATGCTGTTATTATTGTTTTATTCATGCCACACACTATGCTTCAGTTTGAGAACTGCCCACTACATGGCCACAAGTACCGTAAGTTAATGATGTACTGTATTCTAAAATTGCTATTTGAAAAAATACAGATTAAATAATAAAAATTGGAAGACAAAACTAGGTTTACTAATATCGAAGATGTGATAATGTATACCCTTAATAATAGAACATTTATCCCTGGATAGCTTAATTTTACTCTTGGAGATAATCCCTCATAATGTGACTTCAACAATTGGCTTTCTATACTTTTAACAATTTTCATGTGCAATAAATACGTTACACAGCTCCAACTCAGACGGACCACGACCCATTGACAACTGCCCATATGCTATACCATACTACAGCCAACACGGCTGCTCAAGGTCAAATTATATATACACCAATAATATAATTTTTATTATGAAACAGTAATCACAATATAATAAATAACAATACTGGGCAAGCTGTAAACATCCCAAACATATTCACTTCAAAATTTGCCCCACTATACGAGACCTTATTATGAAAATTCAGAATCCTAATAAAGATTACACATACCAAAATATTTCCACCGACCATCGTCTCCTTCAGCCCGACCCCTAACATTACTGTCTGTTCCTGTAAAAACTATCACTATGCAGCTTCCATATCCATTATCCTGCACTCCTGCAAGACAATGGATCTATGAACACTACCACCATTTTCTGGATTTGCAGTTTTATATCTGGAAGTAATGAATTATTTGCTTGGTGTGTAGCACTCTACACCACTTCAAGTAACAAGCGGCTAGAGCACACTAACACTGCTAAATTATCTCCAACCACAACCATTTTGGATACATAATAACTACACAAATCTGCCGTTTCTCACATGTCAGTAAAATGTTCGTAGCAGAATCTCTCCCCAACACGCAAATCACACTGCTCTTCACAATACAACAATAAGATTGGTATGTACCGATTTCATCACTGGACGAAAAGCATAATGCTTTACCTGATCAAATTAACCATGAAAATTATTTCAGTAAAACACCTTTTCAACAACATCGTACAAGGCATATATTAACATCCAAGTATAAAGAACCAAATGAGAGCCCAGCTTAAGAATACATATTGGGTAGATATTTTAATATACAATCACTGTTAGGTTGCACGTGCTCAACTTGATTCATTATCCAAATAATGCTGAGGACACTGGCTTGAAGAGAAGTAGTAGTAGTAGTAGTATTACTGTAGCAGCAGTGGCAGTAGTAGTATTACTGTAACAACAGTGGCAATAGTAGTACTAGTAATGTAGTAATACCGTAGCAGTAGTACCAACAGCAACAGTATGAGTACAGTAATGAAAATGACAGTAAATAAGTATAACAGTAATGATTAATAAATAAATACGTCAGCAGACAGAAGAAGACCAACAGATTCGTTTAACAAGGTCAACATTCAAAATGAAACCAAATACTAATAAGTCTAAAATAGTATAAGCTTTCATTTGCAGAGCAGTGTGGAGAGAGATCTGAAATAACCCTTTACTGCCCAAGGAAAACATGTACAGTATTGCATAAGTAATTTTAATTGTATTTATATGTTTTGATTGTGCGCTTTGTTATAGCACAACAGTCTTCAACGAGACTAACTTGGGCACTCACTGAATCAGATTCAGGTACTGGCCGCTGGCCAAGCCCAGCTTAAGTTCCTCCAAAGGAAGTGAAGGAGAGAGAGGGGATGACATCAGTCTGCTGTGTTCCTCTGCTTTATCTGCAGGACTGTGCACTTGAAACATACACATGGTAACAACATTATCAAGTTGATGCCTGCATTTGGCTGATACACAAAGTCAAAGAACCAAAGCTGGTTTATGTTGTCAACTATCACTCACTTTATAGTTACATATTTCACTAAAGACAACAATAACAAAGTAACAAGAGAGGATATTCTTGGACGCTAATATAAATAAGTATCTTTTAACGAACCTTGATAACTAATAACCATTCGATGTGCTTCACCAGGGAGAACAAATCAGGACAAGTACTATACCTAATTGATGCACAGTACTATATCCCACTAAAGTACAGTGCTATACCCCCACTGATGTGGAGTATTTCAATGATGATCACATATTTCAAGACACTTTCAAACACTATCAAAACAATTCACACAGGAAAACAAAATGAACGACTGAGAAAAAAAACTAAAGTTTGCCAAACGAAAAATCCTAGCTTTCGGTTAAGAAAATTTGTGGATTAAGCGAAGACACGGCCATTACACATGTTGTCTGGGTTATTAGGGTGCACTCGGAGTACAACAAAATATTAAATCATAATTAACACACCTATAAGTCTATTCATAAAACATCCCAAAACCTGTCTTGGAAAATGCAATACAAATCAAACGGGAATTAAGTTTAGAATCATAAGAGTAATTTGTTCTTGGAAATTTTTATTTATATATATATATATATATATATATATATATATATATATATATATATATATATATATATATATATTTATATATATATTATATTTAACACACGACATACAGTATATGCAAATTCGTAATGATGCTCAAGAGATGTCACTAGAGTTTAAGAAACACTCAAAAAATTAGCCAGAATGAGTTACCAGAGAAATCATCAAAGTGATCCTCACATCGCACATCAGCTGGGGCATGCACTACAGTGTGGCACCCAACATCGCACATCAGCTGGGGCATGCACTACAGTGTGGCACCCAACATCGCACATCAGCTGGGGCATGCACTACAGTGTGGCACCCAACATCGCACATCAGCTGGGGCATGCACTACAGCGTGGCACCCAACATCGCACATCAGCTGGGGCATGCACTACAGTGTGGCTCCCAACATCGCACATCAGCTGGGGCATGCACTACAGTGTGGCACCCAACATCGCACATCAGCTGGGGCATGCACTTACAGTGTGGCACCCAACATCGCACATCAGCTGGGGCATGCACTTACAGTGTGGCACCCAACATCGCACATCAGCTGGGGCATGCACTTACAGTGTGGCACCCAACATCGCACATCAGCTGGGGCATGCACTTACAGTGTGGCACCCAACATCGCACATCAGCTGGGGCACACAGTGTGGCACCCAACATCGCACATCAGCTGGGGCATGCACTTACAGTGTGGCACCCAACATCGCACATGGGGGCATGCACTTACAGCGTGGCACCCAACATCGCACATCAGCTGGGGCATGCACTTACAGCGTGGCACCCAACATCGCACATCAGCTGGGGCAGGCACTTACAGTGTGGCACCCAACATCGCACATCAGCTGGGGCATGCACTTACAGTGGCTCCCAACATCGCACATCAGCTGGGGCATGCACTTACAGTGTGGCTCCCAACATCGCACATCAGCTGGGGCATGCACTTACAGTGTGGCACCCAACATCGCACATCAGCTGGGGCATGCACTTACAGTGTGGCTCCCAACATCGCACATCAGCTGGGGCATGCACTTACAGTGTGGCACCCAACATCGCACATCAGCTGGGGCATGCACTTACAGTGTGGCACCCAACATCGCACATCAGCTGGGGCATGCACTTACAGCGTGGCACCCAACATCGCACATCAGCTGGGGCATGCACTTACAGTGTGGCACCCAACATCGCACATCAGCTGGGGCATGCACTTACAGTGTGGCACCCAACATTGATGAATGAGGCTTAATTGTTCAGCTGGCAGCAGCAACAGCTGTGGCCTTGTTCTGCTTGCAATAAGCTTCAGCTTAAGTGGAGAAAACTAGGACAGTTGTACCATGAAATATTTATATAAAAACTTGACCCCTGGTAAAACAAGCGTTTGTTGACTTGGTCTCCACTTGAGAAGTTTGCGGAAAGGGCAGCTGCATCACCTGAGGTATGATAATTTCAATGGCTGTAAGGGGCTAGAGGCACCGAGGCATTCATTTGCTAAATGGCCTAACGACAAATATTCAATAATAAAAGCATCACAGTGAATGAGGTGGTTAAGTAGTAGCTGTGGGATGTTCAGCAAAGCCTTCAACTTGTAATAATGCCATTATTCAATGTAGGGATTCACCATGTTATAAGTGATGCCCTTCACATACCCTTTTGCCATTGTCAAAGGCAAAATTTTGCATCACAAATATGTGAAATTTCATATGACATTTTCATATTACCGTAACTGTACTTATTAATACTCGAGTTCCTGCTTGCAAAAACTGGCAACACTTTCACACTTTTCATATCACAAGACCCTATACAATGGACCCGTTACATCAACTCCCTGACCAAATATTGTGGCTTACAAGTTGAAGATGGCAGCGGGAAACATTCCAGAGGAGTAGACCACCACCCTGGTCACCACCTCACGCTGGATCTTGAGATAAATCCTTTAGCAAAGTAGATCTTGCATTTTTTAACTTGTCAAACCTCTTTATAAGATGATTATTAGTAGTTTCCACTTCTTCTAATCTACTTTGGGCATCTCTTAACTGGAAAAAAAAAGTATTTTAAATAAAATATTTATAATACCGATATGATGTATATTAAACAATAAAATGAATAACTAGAATTCATAAAAAATCAAACCTTTTACTTCACACCACTTCAATAAAGTTGCCTATAATGAAATTTTGTGAATTTGAAGTAGAAGAAAAATTAGTTAGTTAGTAACAGTTGATTGATTGACAGTTGAGAGGCAAGCCGAGAGAGCAGAGCTCAACCACTGCAAGTACAAGGTAAATACAACTAGGTAAATACAACTAGGTGAATATAACTAGGTGAATACATGGTTCTGTACATGGACTCATCCTGTTTATGATATATATAAATGATCTTCTAGAGGGTATAGACTCATTCCTCTCGATGTTTGCTGATGATGCTAAAATTATGAGAAGGATTAGGTCAGTGGAAGACGGCATGAGAAGGAAACCTGGACAAACTGAAGGAATGGTCCAATAAATGGCTACTAAGAGTTTAACTTGAGCAAATGGAAAGTAATGAAGATTGGTGTAGGAAGCAGGAGGCCAGATATAAGGTACTACTTGGGTATCTTGTATCTGACCTTAAGAGAGAGTGTAAGTCTTGGGGGTTGGTATTACACCGGACCTGCCCCCTGAAGCCCACATCAAGAAGACATCAGTGGCATATGCTAGGTTGACCAACATAATAACTGTCTTTAGAAACTTGTGTAAGGAATCAAATAGAAACACTGTATACTACGTATGTCAGACCAATCCTGGAGTATGCAGCTCCAGCATGGAAACCGTATCTAATCAAGCACAAGACTAAATTGGAGAAGGTTCAAAGGTATGCCACCAGACTGGTACCCAAGCTGAGGGATATTAGCTACGAGGAAAGACAATGGGAACTAAATCTTATGTTGTTGGAAGACAGAAGAGTTAGGGGAGACATGATTACCAAATACAAGATTCTCAGGGGAATTGATAGGGTAGATAAAGACAGACTGTTCTAGGTTGTACACGCACAAGGGAATACAGGTGGAAACTGAGCACTCAAAAGCCAGAGACATTTGAAAAAACATTTTCAGTGACAGTAGTTAGCAAATGGAATGCATTAGGCAGTGATGTGCTGGAGGCAAACTCCATACACAGTTTTATATGTAGATATGACAGAGCCCAGTAGGCTCAAGAATTTGTACACCTGTTGATTGATGATTGGGAGGTGGGACCAAAGAGCAGAAGAATAATTAATTTAAGTGAGTCTAGACACACACACAACAGTAGTTGAAGCCAATTCAATACATAAACTTAAAAGTAAATACAAGAAAAACAAGAGAAAATGGATCACTGAACTGAATTAATGATGGTCAAGGATTTGAACCTAGGCTGCCAGGGTTGCAGCCCTGTACTGCACTTACTCAAGTGTTGATTGTGTACAAGTGTTGGAAGGCAGCGAGACCTACATGTATCCAACACTGCAACACATGTTGAGAATGGGCATCAATATCTACCACATCCATACAACATTACAACCATTACATCAAGGGTACAATTTGACATGCAAACACCTCTGCTATGGTAATTACCTCTCTTTGCAATTTCCGTTTCTCCAGCTTAAGCTCTTCTTCACTTTTCTCAAGTTCTTCAGACTGAGTTCTATAACGAGTCGACAGAGCATCCAGCCGTGCCACCTGCAGGAAGTCACAGTAAACTATATAAATACAATTATTTGTAAGAGTTAATAGTGAGCAACTTGCACCATCACTTGGGAGTGTGTGTGGTGTGCCATCACCACACTAATTCACAGTTTCCTTTACTTACCCTCTTTAAACCTTACATACAAGTAAAGGAAATTGAAAAAGCAAAACAAAATGTATTCACCCTATACCTATGGTTGTCACCCTACAATATAATGTATTCACCATATACACTAACGTGATAACTCCATATCTTAAGGTATTCACCCTACAATATAATTACCTAGCACAAAGAAAAACACTGAGAAGTCAGTTGAAGGAACAAATAAAAATATTCCTTAATCTTTAAACAACAGCCAATGTCAACTGATGTACACCGGGTGTTCCGAGATCAATATGATGCATCTGAATTGACGTTTCGTCACTATGGAATCATTTGAGAATGGGTTACTAATCATAAATGCGTATAGTTATCAAAATTTGACCTTTTTCCGAGTTATTACCTAATAAAAAGATAAAAATTGTTTTTATTCTTTAATGTTATTAATTAGGGCAAATTTTTGAGCAAGTGGAATCACTGCTCATAAAAATATGTATGCTAATAATTACACATTTTTTGGAGGAGTCAAACAGTGTTTCATTATATTAAAAACACTTTTTTTTAAGTTTACTAAAATATTTATGATTTTTTTTTTAATTCTATAAGATAAAAATTTAAATTATGTGAAACATTTCTAAATATTCAGACCTTCAAATGACAATCAATATTTAATATGAAATTCTGTATATCCAAAAAAATTAAATGGAATTGTGTTAAAACAAAATTGTCCATATATTGAATATTTTAAAACAAGAAATATATTTCTTTAAGTATTTTAAGAATTGCGCACATGGGAGGCAGGTGTCACCTGCCTGAAAAAAATAGCACTCAAACAGTTAAGATTTCTGAATACATCTTTGCATCTAGATGAATAATCAAGATTAACAAACAAATAATTTCATTAACCAGTCACATTGTACCAAACCAAAATGTTGGTTAAAGGGAAGGTAAAAGCGGAAGGGTGCTAATGCCAAGTGGGCTCTAGAGGCGGTCAATTAGGTCAGTTAGTGGGGAAGACGAAGCTACCGATCTCACACAGATGCCACTCTGTTGAACTCTTAAGTCAATGACAAAGATTGTTACTCACCCAGCCCTGCTGTTTTGTCACTAGCATTACCCTCATGCTACAGCTTCCTCCACCACTACATCTCTCTCTCTACCTCTTATCACAGTCACTTTGATCAGTGATAACATCTGCCAACAGAAGAGGAGGGAAGGTGGAGGGGAGGAAAGGAGGAGGGGAGGGAGGGAGTGAGAGAAGGAGGAAGAGGAGGGAAGGAGAGTGACAGGAGGAGGAAGAGGAGGGAAGGAGGGTGACAGGAGGAGGAGGAGGAGGAGGAGGAGGAGGAGGAGGAGGGGAGGAGGAGGAGGGGAGGAGGAGGAGGGGAGGAGGAGGAGGGGAGGAGGAGGAGGAGGGGAGGAGGGGAGGAGGAGGAGGAGGGAGGAGTAGGAGGGAAGGAGGGTAACAGGAGGAGGAGTAAGAGGGAGGGGGGATGAGGAAGAACAACAAGAAGGGAAGAAGAATGAGGACAGATGAGGAAGGATGAAGAATAACGAGGAAGGATGAGAAGTAGAGGGAGATGGTTGGAAGGAGGGGAGGAAGAAAATAAAGAAAGACAGACATCCCATGCAATTCCCGTGGCACAGTGGTAACACACTCGCCCCGCGATTCGCAAATGATTTATTTGACCTAGGTTCGTATCCTGTCCGGGAAGGATTGACTAGGTGCCAATCCTTAACTGTAGCACCTGGTTGTTAAATGATTTCACAGGTCATATTCCAGGGAAAATTAGAAATAAGGACCTGCCCGAAACGCTATGCGTGCTAGTGGCTTTACGATAATGTATGAACTTTTGTATATATAAAATAAAAAACATAGAAGACTGAAGAAAGTCGCCTCTCGTAAAACAAGAATACCTTATCAAATGTTGCACTTCACATTCTTGAAGTGATGAGTGACCTTTAAGAAAGTCTCATTCACAAACCCTCACATGTAAAATCACAAAGGCCTGCTTTAATAAAATCACACACTAAACCTTTCTTATTCCTGTGATTCAGTCTTATGATCCATTAATGATTTCTAAAAATAACTAATTAAATCTGAAATGTTCATATAATTACTGATCACAGTTCTGGACAGAAATTGGTGGCATCACTTCTACCTTATCGGTGTCAGATAGAAAAGTTGCTCGCCATCTGAGTAAACCACCTCGTGGGTCGCTTTCTCCGATATCCTAGGATAGAAATATTTCTACAGTAATCACTACAAGTGCGTGAAAGTAAAAGTAAAATAAAAATAAATTAATAGTCGAGTTCAGTTGGCAAGTACTCACATTGGCCAGCAACGTTGACACCTCAGCTTCAGCCTTCTGAACTCTAAACTTATATTCGTTTACAGTTTTGCTTTGCTCCTCTGAAAAATTGTAAAATTAGAATCACATAGTCAATAGTGCAGACATTAATGACAAAAATAGGAACTTGCAAGACCACCAAGCATATAATCACTTGCACATGCAACAACAACAATGACGTATTTACTTTGTTTCTCATAGTCTAAACCATTTTCTCGTCTTCTATTCTTGATTTGCTCTTCTTCAAGTTCTAATTTCAATCTTCTAACTTGGTCTTCTAAATCATTTTTCTCCTCACCCAACTTCTTTAGCCTTACATCTGTAAAGAGGAAATAGTTGGACTAAGTTAACCACTGCACTGCGCAAAGCACCTTAAGGCGCTGTAAGGGTTGTGTGATTGTTTTTTTAATTAGGCCATATTTTAAGGTTTTTTAATGTTTTCATCACTCTTTGTGATTTGAAATGAAAAAGATTGAGTTTGGAAACATTTTGACATTAACATTAGCTGAACATTTATAAAAAAAAAATATGTTCTTAACAACTGCACCATGAAATTTTTGCTAAAACCAGGTGCACAGTGCAGGGGTTTACCTGGGCAGTAGCGGTAATAACATGTTGATCACATATTGGTAACACACAAAGTAGTTTACTGAATTTGTCACAAGTTGGGTTTAATCTACACTTGGAATAAATCAAGTTTACTACTGAACACAAATTTTCACCTGTATGTTATTAATTAAGATGATCATTTGTCTAACAACTGTGGTAAACTGACCTAGTGAGCCTTTAGCAGCACCCTTTGCCAATAGTTCTGCCGCTTCTTGTGAAATTAATGCTTTCTTAACAAATATATTCCTAGGTGATAAATCTTCCACTTCCTCCTTTTCAGATTCTACTTCCTCGCCATTCTCCTCCTCTTCACCAACCACAACCAAGCCATATTCCTGTAAAATTGAAAACAAAATTCAAATGAAGTTAAAATTTCTGGCAACCTTTGGCCATTATTTACTGTTCTTAGCCTTGCAAATTAAAAAAAACTTTTAGGAATTATGTGAAAACTAAATGTGATAAAAGCTCCATATAAGTGTCATATGCTAAATACCTTACCTAAAGTACTTAGCTAACAGTGACTACACAGGAGTAAGGTCTAGCTCTTTATGCCTTGCCTTCTAGACACGTGCCCAGTGCATTTTATTTCTACTTGTTCTGACGTTCAAATTTGTTGCTTTGCAACCCACCGATAATGCTAAGTATACTGTGTGTCCCACACAGTATAATATACAACACAGGGAAGGGTAGTTAGAGTTCACACAGCTTTTTGGGAGATATTTATGGAAATTCAAGTATTGCCAATTTCTTCATATTGTGACTCTGAAAGTTCAATGTATGCAAACTTCAGAGAACAATGAAGCTATATAAACTGTTTGATGCCTGCCCCACCACAGGGTGGGAGGTGTTGGACACTAGGGTGGGAGGTGTTGGACACAATGGAGGGTGGTATTGGACACAAGGGTGGGTGGTATTGGACACTAGGGTGGGAGGTGTAAGACACAATGGAGGATGGTATTAGACACAAGGGAGGGTGGTATTGGACAAAAGAGTGGGAGATACTATGGATGGATAGTGGTACAAATACTGTACTTAATTATAATTGGTGGGAAGGTTCCCTGCCCAGCCACTCTCACATGTGTGCACTCTTACACATATTGGTTTTCATGCAAAATTATGAACCATGTGAACAATGAGATTCAACATGGAGGTTGCAGGGGGTCAATTGATTTTCAAAACAAGCCTTTTTTCTCAGACTTCTCACCACCCACCCTTCTCTCACCACCGGTTCAGCTGGGGAGCCGGTCGGCCGAGCGGACAGCACGCGGGACTTGTGATCCTGTGGTCCTGGGTTCGATCCCAGGCGCCGGCGAGAAACAATGGGCAGAGTTTCTTTCACCCTATGCCCCTGTTACCTAGCAGTAAAATAGGTACCTGGGTGTTAGTCAGCTGTCACGGGCTGCTTCCTGGGGGTGGAGGCCTGGTCAAGGACCGGGCCGCGGGGACAATAAAGCCCCGAAATCATTTCAAGATAACCTCATCTCAAGATAACCCTACTTTAGCTCTCACTCCCAAAACATTGTGTACAGTATAATATTCCCCCACACAAATACAATGATCTTGTAACATACTTTTCTAACCCTCTAGTTTTGTAAAATAAATTTGTATTCTTAGTCATTATAATAACCCTTCACTGTGAAGGGTTATTTTAATGTGACCATCTTAATAACCTTCTCAGTGTTTAAAGTCAGCATCTACAACATTTTTATCATGGAAAGTAACTAAGATGTACATAAAACATATGATTATAAAATAAAGAATATCGTACAAGTGCAGGAAAAATGTTTCCAATAAAAGCAACACCAGCAGATTTACCCGTTCATGTTCTTGGAACATACCATATCTTATGGTATGTAAGAACACATCTTACCTGTATCACCTGGTCCTCTAACAAATCACTGATGGAAGATATTACTTATAGCAACTCTTCCCATTCTTGTGATATATCATGAAGGATCTTACCTGTATTAACTGGTCTCGTTCTTGTAACATACCACGAAGGATTTTCACTTCTTCTTGTAACTTTGTTGATACTTTCCTAAGTTGTTCATATTCGGTACATTTCTTACGATGTTCTTTCTGCAAGGCAAGAGGAAAACCCTCAATAAAACCCTTGCAATTTGGTTATCATCAAATCTGTCTCCTCGCTTATGCACAAAGAGTTTTTATAGAATGATGCACTGCATGCAAAAAAAGAAAAGGTAAAACAGAACAAATAAAAGTATCTACATTTGTAATGGTTTTGTGAGCTGAAAGAGGAAGCTGTGTGGTGGGGGTCATGGTGTTAAACATCAGTGGCCTTTAGAAAAACCATGTTGCGAGTCCTTTATTATTCTATGTTTTTCAAGATGTAAATGTGTGGCTATTGTGATTATTCAAGCAATTTTCTTACAATAGACATTAAAGTAATTGAAGATAGTCTGACATAAGTGATCTACCTTGTTAACTTCCGTTTCCTTGTTGTGATCAATGAAGGAAACGTTCCCTTGGCCCAGTCTCTGACCTGGCCTCATGCAACTTCCCAAGCCTCCAGTACTCTGATCGACTCTAATGATTTATCAAATATGCAAAATACTGGGTCATTAAGTTCCTTGTTATAGTCATTAAGCACCCCTAACAAATACTTTGTTTGGCCCTAAGAACTTATTTGGCCAAGATTTTTCTATTTAATAACTTCCTCTCCAGTAATCACTAAACTAGCCAACTTGTCCTCTTCATCATCTATATATTGAGGTGTTCAGCTGCAGGCATCATAGTTCTTCTCTAGTAAACACAGAGACAAAGTTACTTACGATTTATAAAATACCACCCATTCCGTTGGCATTAGTAGACACCTGATCTCAGTTCACAAAGACCGAGTCTTCTCCCTAATCTTTGTTAGGTATCTGAAAAACCCTTGAGGATTCGTCTGTGCCTTCCCTGCTCTATGTACTTCAGTTTCTTTTTGGCTTTTCTTATTATTTCATGATATTTCTAACAAGTTTGACACACTGGTGTGTTAGATTGCCTATCCTAGTCTTAAATCTTCTTTAGATAGTTTTCTTTTTTCCGATATGGTCCTTTATAATAATAACGACCAAGTTCTGCAGTGTTCACCAAGAACACAACCACCAGGTTTTCCCAGTGTTAACCATGAACATAACTACCAGGTTCTGTAGCGATCACCAAGACTACAATGACCAGGTTCTGCAGTGTTCACTAAAAACACAACCACCATGTTCTGCATTGTTCACCAAGAATGTAACAAAATTGTGCAGTGTGAGTGTTCACCAGGAAGACACCCCAAGACTCTGCAGTTGGTCTCCAAAAACACCAGCAGCATCAACAGACAACCGAGGCCAAGCTCTCGGCCACACCTGTATACAGCTTGCTTAGCATCTCCCTTTAAACAGAAACAGCTAAACAGCTGTCATTTCAAAGGCCCATACATGACATTTGGAATCAATTCTCTCCCCTGCAGACTCCTTACATCTTACACACTCAATTTCTTTTCATTATCCAAGGCCCACACAAATATCTCCAACTCAATCCTCAACATGATCTTTACAAAATAACCATTTTAAAACTTGTATTCAGTCTGTCTCTTTCAAGTATGATTTTTTGGGTCTTGTCAAGCATTGAATAAGAATAATTGTTCTACACAATTTATTCTCTATGAAAAATTCTAACTAAATTAAAGTTCTTAACTACTTACATATCCATTCCTAGAACTTACCGCTAACTGCGTGTGCGTCTCCTCCAATTCAGTATACTTGTCCTTCATCAACTCGACTTCAAAGGTTAGCGTTGCCTTTTCATTATCAAGTTGAGCATTGGTTATCATTGCCTTCCGGAATTTCTCATCAAGTTCTTTTAATTCTGCCTGAAAGATTAAGATGGTGTAAAAAAAATATATTGAAGACATAGTGAAGCCCTCCTTAAAACATGTAGTTGAAAGATATTATATCTTAATTTGGATATTTTGTCTTCATATAGCACACACATACATGTGAACTATTTTATTTATTAAAAATTCATGATGTGGAATTTAAATATGGTTCTATCTCATGAGGAAGATTAAGAAAGGTATCCCAGGGAGAGCATATTTATAATTGTGACGAGAGGGGTTTGTGCTGGGACATGTTACCAACAGACACTAAGGTTACACTATAGGCTCATAACTAGCAAGTACAAACAAAATACTCTCAAGTTTTCACAAGTTGTTCATTTAGTCTTGGTCCTGAGGCTTCTGAAAAGCATATGGTCATCTGTGTATAATTACCGAAGTGTAGTTACAGGATCAGAGCTACGTGGTGTCCCATCTTTTAAGTACTCTGTAATATAATGCTTTGAAATGCTTTTTGCCCGAAACGCATTGCGTAATAGTGGCTTTAGGCATTGTATGTACTAGCTCTATCTATATATCAATCCATTAATGTAACATCACTTGTATGTATATACCTTACCTGAATAAACATCTGAATCTGAATCTGAATCTGAATCTGAAACTACTGATGGTTTTGGTCTCCACCACTACCTCACTTAACCACCATCTACCACATTTAAACTAAAAAATAATTTTGGGGGGAGGAGGATCTTGAGTTTCTCACATTAATAGCACAGCAGGAAAAAGCAGGGTTCTCTTTTATTAATTATGCAATAAAAGATGCAAATTTCCAAATTTCAATTTTTTTGGCAGTATTACAACAAAATGTAGGGAGAAAGCAATAACAAATTTGCAAGGTTAATGTTGAAAGCTCATCACATGCCTGTCCCATCCTGTAACCCGTTTTATTTTTGTTATATACACAGAATACCGTAAAATCTCATGACTATAATACTGCATCTGAACTATCATTACTCAAAAGTACAATGACCTACCCTCATCTCTCTAACATTTGCTGGTAGAGATTCATCAGTCGTCGAGTCTTCCGACGATCTCCTCGAGTACTGGCCCGTACAATTAATCCCTGCTGTTCGAACAGAGGTCCTCCCAGTACCTCCTGATCTTGGTGACGGCTCTAAAAATAAGCGATTTATAAGTTTCATTTAAAAAATTTGAACAGCAAACCAATCATCAACATTTCCTCACAAGAAATGGAGAATGAAAATGAGACACCACAGTGTTTAAATTACAAAAGTCAACTACACAACCTGTATCCACACCAATGTAAAGGTCTGATTCTTCCAACGCCCAACTGAATTGAAAAGCAACACTGCCTACAGCTGCTGCATTGTATAACCCAATATCATGTGCAATGATTATTATGAACTTTGCAATCAAATGTCCCTTCACACTGGAACATCCATCCTGGTATGATGTGGTAGAGGCAGACTCCATACACAGTTCCAAATGTGGATATGATAAAGCCCAATAGGCTCAGGAACTTGTACACTAGTTGACTGACAGCTGAGAGGCGGGACAAAAGAATTAAAATTGAACCCCCAAAACCACAACTAGGCGAGTACCAGAGCCCCTTCACCCTGCGACACCCACAAGAGACTCTTCACCCTGGGATACCCACAAGAGCCCCTTCACCCTGCGACACCCACAAGAGCCTCTTCACCCTGGGATACCCACAAGAGCCCCTTCACCCTGGGACACCCACAAGAGCCCCTTCATCCTGGGACACCCACAAGAGCCTCTTCACCCTGGGATACCCACAAGAGCCCTTTCACCCTGGGACACTAACAACACACCCTAAAGACACTCAAGGCTACTTCTGTACCAACCAATGCTCTTCAGAGTATTCCAGGAAAACATTGTAATTGAATTCTGCATTTGCTTCTTTATCTGTAGACGAAACACTCGGTTATCTAAACAATAAACACATCCATAAGTAATACGACATTCTAATAACAATATTAAGAGGACAGATTATGAATGAGATCAAAAAACCATTATGAACAAAACCCACACAAAATTAACACAGTAATTAATGTCTTGTGATACCGTATTATCGCTTTAGACCACTCAGTTACTCACTAAGGTAACATCAAACTGAACCCTGGTTAGAAACAAGTAGTTGGGGAGGGTTAATTCTCTATACTTGTTCAACACGGAACCTTTTACGTACTTCCCACTAGGTCATGGTGGTGCAGCCACAAAGTTCATTTACATCAAACTTATAGCCTTTCTGACCATCCTGGTTAGCTATCAAATAAACTGCCTAGTCAGTAATCATTACCATGTTCAGGCGGCAACACAGACACCACGGAGAATGTATGCCACTACACTACTTCCAGAACTAACAGGTTCGAGTCGTGAGGAAAGGCTGCGTGAATTGCATCTGATGTCGCTGGAAAACACACGAGTTCTGAGAGACATGATTACCACATACAAAATTATCACAATATACAAGCTCTGCAAGAGCTTCTATTATTCTTAGAAACTCAGTATTTAATTTATGGAGTGGGCTTAGACTACATAAGTGAACATGTCTCTTGAAAATGTTAATTTAACAAGCTTAGTGTGTCTTTGGACATCCACTTAACTGCTTTTTAGTTATTTCTGTATGTCTTGTCAGTTCCCTCTCTTTACATTGAAAATTACCCTTTGGAGTTGATTAATGTAAAAGTATTTATAGTTCTTTGAAACTTTGTTCCATGGAGCTGTCAGTTCCAGTTTGGTAATGATCACTACAGTACTTGGCTTTGTACTCGTCTAGATGTACTTGCCAGGGCACAGATCATTTTGTTGACCAAGGTCATGCCATGGCAGAGATTTTGCAGCTGCATTTGCAACAAAGTGCTCAGGAAAATGCTTTTCATTTGCAATGTACTCAGGAAAGTGCCTTTAATATACCCTGTACAGTATTCTCAAAGCTTAATGATAACTTGTGAATTTTCTACAAATCTCAGCTCATTGTTGTCATCCCAAGGCATATAATAAATTCAAATAAAATTCACCTTCAAATATGCTTAAGTGAACATTAATTTTAATTACATAAAAGCTCAAGAAAATAATCCATATTTCATTATCAAAGATTAAGAGATAGTGTCGTTGTAAAAGCAGAGACTGCTGTTGAAAAAGATTCCAAGACATCAAACATTATTTCATTATGTTCATTTAATTTTCATATATATTTTGAACTCTGTTGGTTTTTACAACATTTGGCTACCGAGTAATGTAATACAATTTCCCTATCAAAGACTCTCGCACTTAAAATATTCTGCCTAACATTAAACCACTAGATAGCATACTGCAATAATAATCTAATTAGTTACCTAAGCTTGATTCACTGTAGTATGTGTAAATATTAAAATCTTCAACTGGAGAAAATAGTTGAAATAGAAAATGTATGGAAATGTTCCATTGTAGCAGTGGTGGCAAACCCAACTCTACTGTTAGGGGTTAACTATTATGTGGTTGAGCAAAGAACTCCACACACAGTTGAACAGCATTAGACCACTTAAATTATAATTTTGGACAATCCTTAATGGACACACCCAAGCACTTAAGATGCCAGAATTAACAGCCTTACAATTTTTTCATCTACAAGTATATGGAATATGGCATTGCTTTGTGTAGCAGAGGCATGAAATGTTTGAAACTCCTTTGAATTTGTGCATTGTGCTTTGAGGTAAACACAATGTAAATTGAATTTTTTACTAAACCAAAAAACAAATTAAAGTGAAAACAATGGAATTTGTCTTTAACTGTTCGCAAAATATAAGCAGCAAAGAAGCAAAGCATAAAAAAATGAAAATAATGGGCGAGATATGAGAGACGTGATAAAATATTGGTATTTATGAAGCAGGTGCATATCTATGCCAGTCCTCAAGTGAGCTGCATTACTCTATGGGTGCTCACAGGAACATAAAGGAAACTAAGCAACCATTTATTTCCCACATGTGGGACGACTCCCCACAACAGTGGCCTGACTGGCAATAAAGTGATCTTACTGCCTCAAATTATCTACACTAAAAAAGGTTCTCCTGGACAAAATTTTTGGCACACGGTAATCTTCCAACCAATACCTTCGGTCACTATTACACGTTAAAGATTGCGGGGATTAATGTCCCCGCGGCTCGGTCTCTGACCAGGCCACTACACTGCCAATATGTTGATTGGAATATCTTAACAACAGTAGTGCGTGCTTTTTTTTATTTAACAACTCACATTCTTCTTTACTGCTCATTTTCTTACTACCTCTTCCCAGTTCATTCACAACAGTTAGCTGCTCATTAGTCACACAACTGTCAGCAAGCCCACACACAACACTGCTTAGCATTAAACAATTATTCAATGGTAGTTTAGAAGCTCAAATACTGATTGTTTGCAAAACCTACAATGTAACTAAAGTCAGAACTCTGGAACCCATGCTGCCTTCACTAGGGTCAACAGCAGACACTACACAAGCAAAACAATAACTCACCAAAAAAATAGGCATGAAGGAACTAGGAGGGTAAATCAGTGACTATAATTCTCAGACTTAGGGAGAATAAGCATGACAAATGGGTGAGAGGTTAAGAAGAGAGAGGGTATTCTCAGACTTGGGAAGAATGTGCACGAGAGATGGGTGTGGGGTTAAGAAGTGAGAGGGTATTCTCAGACTTGGGAAGAATGTGCATGAGAGATGGGTGAGAGGTTAAGAAGAGAGAGGGTATTCTCAGACTTGGGAAGAATGTGCACGAGAGATGGGTGTGGGGTTAAGAAGAGAGAGGGTATTCTCAGACTTGGGAAGAATGTGCATGAGAGATGGGTGTGGGGTTAAGAGAGAGGGAGGGTATTCTCAGACTTGGGAAGAATGTGCATGAGAGATAGGTGTGGGGTTAAGAAGTGAGAGGGTATTCTCAGACTTGGGAAGAATGTGCATGAGAGATGGGTGTGGGGTTAAGGAGAGAGAGGGTATTCTCAGACTTGGGAAGAATGTGCATGAGAGATGGGTGTGGGGTTAAAAGCAAACAGTTTAGTTAACAACACCCTCTCACCAGTACCTTCCTCCTCCCCCTCCTCCTCATCTTCGTCGTCACCACCACCCTCTGCACCTGAGGTAGATGTGTAACCTTTGAGCATATCGTGAGGGAGGTCACGATCCTCTAACATTTTCAACAGATATTGTAGCACATGGTCAATTTGCCAGGTTTAGGATATCCTTACAAAAGCCTATTAACATATAATTAAACTAATATCTTGTAATTATATAAAGATGTACACTTACACCCAAATAAGGCCAGAACTGTTGCTTCTAACCTGGCATAGCCACACACCCAAAACTACTTGAATCCTCTTATGAGTACCAACAATTATTGTTGATGTTCAGATTAGGAATCATTATCCCTTACTCTCGCCATCACAAGGTCTGTGCTCGTGTGAATTGACGAGATTAGTTAGTTTTGATTACCGGTAAGTGTCCGATTAACCGTAAAATTATTCTCAAGGAAGCAGAGTAGGGATAATGATTCCATGGAACCCTGCCCACAGTTCCCAGAAATAAGGATAATAGAGCATTCTTCTGAAACTTCATCATCCCTTTGAGTCCCTGGTAAGCATACTCATGATGACATCTAATGATGGATGCCAAGTGAGGCATGCCGCCAATATATATGCAAACACCTAGAATCTTGTTCAAACATTGTATACAGCACCTTGAGTAAGGATGTAGCTTATATCCATGTATACAGCACCTTGAGGAAGGATGTAGCTTATATCCATGTATACAGCACCTTGAGGAAGGATGTAGCTTATATCCATGTATACAGCACCTTGAGGAAGGATGTAGCTTATATCCATGTATACAGCACCTTGAGGAAGGATGTAGCTTATATCCAAAAAAATTTTTTATTATACACTTACACATGCAGTAGCGCTTTCCTTCACCTTCATTACAACTATTCTTGTGCTGTCCCATCCTTTATAATACTGTATATATATATGTTATCTATTGGTTATTTTTAACATAATACCATCTCTTGTAGTCAATTTCATCATTAACCCTTGCACTGCTCACCTATTTTCGGCAAAAACGTCTTGGTGCAATTGACAAGGACATATTTTTGTTATTTTTACAAATGTTCAGGTAAATTTAATGTCAAAATGTTTCCAAAGTCAACTATTTCCATTTCAAAACACAAATAGTAATGAAAACATTAAAAAACATTAAAATATAGCCAAATTAAAAAACAAAAAGCACAACTCTCCGAGCGCCTAAAGGCGCTTTGCGCAGTGCAGTGGTTAAAGAAATACCCCTGTACTGTATTACATACAATGCACTGTATTGTATTACATACAATACACTGTAGTGTCTTTGCTATAGTTATGACACCTTACTTCATGCCAGGAGCTTCCCACCCCATTATGGGGTGGTCGCAGCAAAAGTTTCTCCAGTAGGTTCTATCACTACACAAACCTCCCACTCTTTCATATACTGTTCTACTCTACTAACATAATCATTGTCTACTAACCACCACTGTGTATTGTGTTTCACCACATTTCATTATTTCGTCCTTTTCACTTGTATCAAATCTTTCATACGCTTCTTCATTATAACACTGTACACATATACATTCACTAGCTGTGAAAAAAAAAATCCACTATTTGTACTTTCTCCATACCCAAATTTCACTTCCACATGTCATGGTTGAAGTTGTATACTATCACACCATCCTTTCTTAGCTTCCATTTTAGCATTTCTATCTTTTATTGTACTATTTACATCTACCATTCTTCTTCCATTCTTTACTGTCTTCTCTACACATCTTTTTTTTTTAGTAATTTGTATTTTGTTGAGCCTAGCGATGACTTAAAAATTTGTCCTCGTGGCTGTGTGCATGTGGACATAGAATACTGTGGAGCGAGTTGCTGGTTGTACACAACGTGGAAGAAGAAGGGACACTATTGCATCAAGGGGGATACTATTGCAACACAATGCAACACTAATTCATGCCACATTTGCCAATTAAACTGAATACATCTTATGCAACCCAATAGCTGAAATATTGCAGAATATAAGTAAAGCCCAATATGACTACCTTTCACAAACATTCTAATGAAACAGGCACCACAAAAACCTAATTATCATCACTATCCATTTGGAATACTTTGTTATTTCCAGGCTACTCAAAGGACAAATTGTGGCACAATAGTCATATTTGTCAAGCTTAAATATTCATTGTAGTATGTAAATAAGTATCAAGAATCCCAACATACAGAATCTTTAGTATTAATCTGGAGAAGAAAATAAACTAAAGGTTTGGCGCAGTAATCATCCTTTTTACAGCTGAGGGCTTGGGAGTTCCCTCATACATAACATTGCTCTGAGATACTGTATTATAAAATGACACACAACGGGTCCAACACCAAATCCAGGACAGTACCTGCATAGGACGGAGTACCAAACTGTTTTTCCTCATCATTTTCCTGGTCTTGTTGCTGCTTCTCAAGCTCTCGCAGTCTCAGCTCCCTGGCCTCTGCCCGAGCTGCTCTTCGCTGGGCCAATCGAGCTTCAGCCTGTTAAAAAAAAATCGTAAGTGCTGGTGTTTTAATTGATGCAGCAATATTTATGGAATAAGGTTAGCAGGCAGATGGACAGTACTGTACAATATAAATATACAGTACTGTAAGTAAACAGACAATGTCATACACAATGAAATCATAACGCGAGTTCAGGTGGTCTCAGGGTTGTGTAACTGTCAAGCGTGTTGTGGTTCATGGGTTAAGACTTGCATCTGGGGTGGGAAGTTGATTTCATCCTGCCATCCTACTCCAGAGGTTTTCTCTGGCAGTGTTGTATAACCTCACTTCAACATGTTATCATGAACTGGAATATGCTACAATGTTAGGTAAACCTGTCCAGCTTGGCAATAGCATAACTGTACCTATACATATTTTTCTATTAATATGATTTTTTTAAATTTTGTAATGCAGTACAATATAATATTCTCCTGCCTATAGTAATATACACCAATACAAACAAATTATTTTGTAAATGCTATTCAACACTGTACTTTAAATTAATATTTATTAAAAAAAGAAAAATGGTGTAGAGTGTTTTTCAGATAAACTTTTGTTTGTTATTGAAGTTCTCTCATGAACTGGTTGTGCCTCAGATATGTGACTTCCCTTCGTGTTCAAACAGTGTAACTTCACTACTGTACCACCATCCCACACTTCTCTCTACTGTACCACCATCCCACACTTCTCACTACTGTATCACCATCCCACACTTGACAATACTTTCATATAATCCCCATCTGGGAGAAACTCTGACAGCAATACTGAGCATATCTCAACTAATAAAAATACTACACAATTCAACAGTCTTGTCAAAAGCACTAACGTGGATAACCAAAGCAATTTGGGGTCCAACCACATCACTATAGATGGCACTACAAGTTATAGCAAAGCATCTGGGGATTCACAGTCACCCTCACCCGGATCTCCACTAAAATTCTACTAATCTATAAAAGGAAAGAGATAATAATGAATTTTAATTATATGATTTTTATTTTAAATCCACTTTCCTAATACTGTACTTTTATGTCCTCTCACAAAGACTAATATCTGGTCTACAGTTAAGTGAACAACATTGCTCTTTAATTTAAACAAAAATTAAATCTGATTTGATGTGAAATTATACTTCAATTTTATTACCTACTAAATGCGGGAAGGCATTGTATTAGGCAAACACATCACCAGGTCCAATATTACCTGAAGCAGCATACTGTAAATATATAATCAAGTATAGCATTGCATAAGATTGCATCACAATGTCAATAATGCAACAAACTGTTTACATGAGTATTAACACAGATGTTTAGATAGTGTGGACTCAAAACATTATGTACAATGCTTAAGAAAAGTGGCTTTAAAAATTTCTGGTGGGATAACATAATTCAAAAATTAAAACCTGCCTTAAAGAAAACCTAGTCTAAGGCTAAATAAAGGGTAAGGGTTTTAGAGCATCCATCACTAAATTTCCCTTAACCTTACCCACCTTACTTTGCTACAAAAACTTTTAAAATTTCAATCACATAATTATGATCGTTACACACTACCGATATGCCTTAATAATAATGGAACTACAGCAATGAAAAAATTGTTTACTTACCAACTTTTCTTGAGGTAAAGGGGGGGATTAATAAGAGAAAGGGGTTAAACGAAGCATATGGAAAGACAACTTACTTCCTCATGGGATACAAAGACAGCCTGCTCCAGGAACCTGTCTCCCACAGGGTCAGGGCTAAGCACTCTCTCATCACTTGGCTGTTTGTTTTCACACTCCAGCATCGGGGACTTATGCCTTGAGTGCCGGGTTGGGGTAGAGCCGCCTCTTGGAGAACCACTTCCCTCTTTCAACTCTGCTGTTCCTGCTGCATCTTTGCCAATGTAAAGCTTAGGATTCTTAGGTTTTTTATTCTTTTGTGATTCTGCCGATGCTTCTTCGTTGTGTTTCTCCGTCGATTCTGGTGCCTCTGTGTGTGTGTGAACGCTTTCTGTCTCAGGTTCTGGATTTTCACAGCATGACTCGTAAAGTACATTGGATTCATTAGTCACAGAACTATCCAAAATACACTCTCTTATTTCTGGAATTTTCTGTGTGGGTGTTGCACTCTGATCTAGGAGTGATGGTACAGCAATAGGTGGAGTGATCATTCCTTCCTCCTCACTGTCCCCAAAGGAATCATCAACCACATTTAAGTCTACACCTCCATCAGGTGCCTCATTAGCCCTTACAGTAACACCTGGCTTGGGTGACACAGGCAAACTGTAATACCCACTGTCTTTGGCCTGATCCACACCCTCTTCCACACTTACTGAAGTTGATGATTTGGACTTCACACCTTTTTCTGGGCAGCCATCATCCTCTGGTATTGTCGTTAAACAATCTGAATCATGCGAGGTGTTATTCACACTTCCCTCAATAGTTGGACTAATGTTATCCGAGCCACTTTCACATATTTTACTTATTTCACCATCTTGGTCTACTATATTGATTCCAACATCTGTAGTTAAAACAGTCCCTTTCTCCAATTCAGTTTCCTTTGACTTGCTGGCTTCCACTGTAGATTCATCTTTTTGCAAACAATTGTTAATAGTATCTTTTGCTATTTCCACAGTTCCTGTATCAACTCCTTCCACAAGAGATACTTTCTGGTTAATGCCGTCAACTTCCTCTTCTGATAATCTGTCGAGCTCTTCATCCAGTAGCTCATCAAGTTCTTCATCAAACATGTCGCTGGAGGCTGTAGAAATATTTGATGTTTTCCGTGCGAGTTTGTTAATGCTACGTGGAATTTTTTTATCGTCTTGTCCACTTAAATCTCTTAACATTTCTTCATTTGTGGCATCAACAACAGAGGAAATGTCAGTAACTTTTAACTCTGCTAGGTCAAAAGGTGCATCATGGTACGAGGAAGAAATGCTTGCTTCTCTGACAATACTCTGTGCCTCTTCCTCACCCTTACTACTGATGAGCACACTATTTGTGGCTTCATTTACCTCTTCAGCAAAAACGTGCGATTCTTCTGAGCAATTCAACTCTACACTTTCGATACATCCAGGAGACATGCCTTTCACAGTGTCACATACGGAGCTTCTCCCTTCCTCTGTTGTGTTGCCTGGGACTGACTCGGATGGAAAGTCATCTTCGTCCCATTCCTCTTGGGCAGAGTCGAAGTCGTCGTCACTCTCCTGGCTATAATGCACACCACTAACGTCCATATCACTATTCTCACCCGACACAGTACCTTCTTGGGTCTCTTTTACTTCATGCTTACTCTCAAACTGAGCCACAGTGCCATGCTGAACTTCAATACTGCCTCTTAAACACTCATCTTCATTAGTGTCTTCAGTGCTTTCACCACCTTCATTATCTGTATTTCTCGAAGAATAATTATTCATTCCACCATCATCATCACTCCTCTGACTATAATCCACCATTACTTCATCCACTGCTTCTTCATCCTGTGGTAGTAGTGTATCATCAATTTCAATTACATCATCAACAGAGGTCCTAATCCCTTCTGGTATAATAATAGTGCTTACGTCATTTGCAATACATGAAACAACATTACCTTGAGGAGCATCCTGTGGGGCATATTTGTCACACTCGCTCAATGTCACTTCGTTTATTTCCGAGGCATCACACAAAACAGGAATTACGTCATCAGCAACATCAAGATTCCGTTCTTCATGGTCACTCATTGTACTTTCATCCTGATCTTGCTCGCATGTGCTAATTCCCTCTTCATGGGAACTTGAACAACCATCACTGGCATTGTCCACCGCATTTACCTCGGGAAAGCCAGCCTCTTCCATGGTGTTACCTTCAGAACTTGCAAACTCATTTGTAATGCAAGAGATTTCTGGCATATTTGTTATCTCTAAGGGGTCATCTTTACCAATAACATTGTTTTCCTCAGTGGGAAGGATGCTGTCAACTGCCATCTCCACAGGCAGACTTGGTATGACTACACCACTGTCATCCACAATGAAGCCTTCCTGGTGTTGCAACTCGGACACTCCTGTGAGGCATGGACGAACTACACCACAATCGTCCACATAGAAATCTCCTGTAAGCTGCGTTTCCAGGCGAAACGTGCCCGGATTATTCTCCTTTCCACCTGGGATGGGAGCTTTACGCTTTCCTTCCTTAGCTTTCCTTTTTTTTATTGGTTTGGTCAAGTCGGGGGCAACTTCATGAGACGGGCTGTGGAGGTGAGCCTTCAGATGTTTATTTACTTTTCCAAGTCTCTTTTTAGATTCTTCCTCTAATTCTTCTTCCTTGTTCTTTCCCCTCCGCTTGAACATGGGAAATAACTTGCTCATGGTGGCGACGGATCCTTCAGGCAGCACTGTGACCCCCACTTCACTAGCCTTGAGCGTGTCACTCCTTAAGCAACACACACCTCGGGCTTATTGTCTAATACAACCTTAACTTTCACTCCACAATAACATTGTTAAATTTCACTGCTTTTTACACAAATGTGGTGTCGACAATATCTGTAAACAAACAAACCAGAACATGAGAGCCTGCTGGGTGATGGTCGTGAAGCACCTGGACACTCATCATCAAGTCACTGCAACATTGACTATCACTGCCAGGGGGGGATGGTATGTCGGGGGGTGGTGGGTGATCCATGATTACACTGATAACATATCACCCACCACTCTACTCTACTCACCTCACAAAACTGTATTTATACTTTGCTGCCACTCAACAAAATGGTCCATAAAACATAACTAATGAAGGAAATAATGAGACAAAGTGGCAGGACGACGAGAGGTAAAGGGAGGGAGAAGGAAAAGGAGGGAAAGGAGGGCGAGAGGGAGGGAGAAGGGAGGGCGAAAGGGAGGGAGAAGGGAGGGAGAAGGGAGGGCGAAAGGGAGGGCGAGAGGGAGGGAGAAGGGAGAGCGAGGGAGAAGGGAGGCGAGAGGGAGGGAGAAGGGAGCGCGAGAGGGAGGGAGAAGGGAGAGCGAGAGGGAGGGAGAAGGGAGAGCGAGAGGGAGGGAGAAGGGAGAGCGAGAGGGAGGGAGAAGGGAGAGCGAGAGGGAGGGAGAAGGGAGAGCGAGAGGGAGGGAGAAGGGAGAGCGAGAGGGAGGGAGAAGGGAGAGCGAGAGGGAGGGAGAAGGGAGAGCGAGAGGGAGGGAGAAGGGAGAGCGAGAGGGAGGGAGAAGGGAGAGCGAGAGGGAGGGAGAAGGGAGAGCGAGAGGGAGGGAGAAGGGAGAGCGAGAGGGAGGGAGAAGGGAGAGCGAGAGGGAGGGAGAAGGGAGAGCGAGAGGGAGGGAGAAGGGAGAGCGAGAGGGAGGGAGAAGGGAGAGCGAGAGGGAGGGAGAAGGGAGAGCGAGAGGGAGGGAGAAGGGAGAGCGAGAGGGAGGGAGAAGGGAGAGCGAGAGGGAGGGAGAAGGGAGAGCGAGAGGGAGGGAGAAGGGAGAGCGAGAGGGAGGGAGAAGGGAGAGCGAGAGGGAGGGAGAAGGGAGAGCGAGAGGGAGGGAGAAGGGAGAGCGAGAGGGAGGGAGAAGGGAGAGCGAGAGGGAGGGAGAAGGGAGAGCGAGAGGGAGGGAGAAGGGAGAGCGAGAGGAAGGGAGAAGGGAGAGCGAGAGGAAGGGAGAAGGGAGAGCGAGAGGAAGGGAGAAGGGAGAGCGAGAGGAAGGGAGAGCGAGAGGAAGGGAGACCGAGAGGGAAGCAGGGGAGGGAGGGAGGGCGAGAGAGGATGAGGGGAGGGAGGGGAGGGAAGGGAGGGATAGTGACTAAACATCAGACTACAGCACCAAGCCACCAGGCTGTGGAACACGATAGAAATGTTAAAAGACCCAATGCTAGAAAGATTACTGCAAGATAAGATGCCCCACTCCCACAGCTGGGGGCCCCCCCAAGATGAGATCCCCCCACACAGCTGGTGGCCCACAATGAGACGCCCCACCCCCACAGCTGGTGGCCCACAATGAGACGCCCCACCCCCACAGCTGGTGGCCCACAATGAGACGTCCCACTCCCACAGCTGGTGGCCCAAGATGGGACGCCCCACTCCCACAGCTGGTGGCCCAAGAGCCTCGCTCTACTCGACGAAAACCAAGCCCCCACAATACATAATTCCTAAATGAAATACTGAACAGAAATACCTCCCTCTTTTAGAAATAAATAAGCAAAAACATATTTAAACAGAACATCAAAACATGTGAAGGCATCCGAGTGTGTATATGTCAATGCTACACAGTATTCATATATAGGCATCCATATGTATACCAAAATACATGTAAAGGACCTCTCACACACTCACAGCTCCCTGACAAAAAGAGAGCAAGCTTAGCTTAGCTGCCAAACACACACACACACACACACACACACACACACACACACACACACACACACACACACACACACACCGTGTCAGCAAGGCTGACAGTCCAACTATCATATTTGTCATTTCCAAACTTCTCTCTCTTCATGTGCCTCTCTCTTCTCTTTACTGCCCCCCCCCCCAAAAAAAAAAATAAAGAGGGAGAGAGGAGACCCATGTCTCAGGGTGCCTAATTTTCTTCATGCACCCTCCCGGAGCCGAGCGACGTCGAAGGGCTGCCACAGACCCCCGGCGGAGCCCGGGTCTTCTGGGACCCACCACCTCAGGTACACGGCCAATATACCTGCCCCACCAAATGTCAAATCCAAGAACACCTTAGAACTTTAACCCAACCACTTGGACTGGACGGTAAGAGCGACGGTCTCGCTTTATGTAGGTCGCAGTTCAATCGCCGACCGTCCAAGTGTTTGGACACCACTTGGTTCCTGTCCCCCCGCCCCATCCCAAATCCTTATTCTACACAATACTGCCAGCAATAGATGAGGTTCACGGGAACAGTCTTCCACGTGGAGACATCTCCCGTCACGCAGGGTGCAGTCGCACCTCCACAGATCTCCACTATCAGCTCTTGATACTGGTAATGGCTCAAAAGGGCCACCACTTACGGGCTATTCATGCCCGTGCCACCTTTTGGATGGCTTAATCTTCATCGATCAATCAATCAACCGGAACAGTCTTCCACGTGGAGATATATACAGGAGGTAGACGAGTACAGGCACTAAGCACAGGTGGTGGAAGCCACCTCCAGAGACAGGTTTAACAGCAGGTAAGCTGTGACACAGACTGGCACACAGAGAGGCCAGCTCCCACAGGCCCACCAGTGCTCGTCCGGCACCTACCTCCCCAAGTACAGTGGTGTACCACAACACCAGAGCCCCAGGTTAGGTGTAGGTGGTGTGGGGGTGGTGGTGTAGGTGGTGTGGGGGTGGTGGTGTAGGTGGTGTGGGGGTGGTGGTGTAGGTGGTGTGGGGGTGGTGGTGTAGGTGGTGTGGGGGTGGTGGTGTAGGTGGTGTGGGGGTGGTGGTGTAGGTGGTGTGGGGGTGGTGGTGTAGGTGGTGTGGGGGTGGTGGTGTAGGGGTGGTGGTGTGGGGGTGGTGGTGTAGGTGGTGTGGGGGTGGTGGTGTGGGGGTGGTGGTGTGGGGGGTGGTGGTGTGGGGGTGGTGGTGTAGGTGGTGTGGGGGTGGTGGTGTAGGTGGTGTGGGGGTGGTGGTGTAGGTGGTGTGGGGGTGGTGGTGTAGGTGGTGTGGGGGTGGTGGTGTAGGTGGTGTGGGGGTGGTGGTGTAGGTGGTGTGGGGGTGGTGGTGTAGGTGGTGTGGGGGTGGTGGTGTAGGTGGTGTGGGGGTGGTGGTGTAGGTGGTGTGGGGGTGGTGGTGTAGGTGGTGTGGGGGTGGTGGTGTAGGGGTGGTGGTGTGGGGGTGGTGGTGTAGGTGGTGTGGGGGTGGTGGTGTGGGGGTGGTGGTGTGGGGGTGGTGGTGTGGGGGTGGTGGTGTAGGTGGTGTGGGGGTGGTGGTGTAGGTGGTGTGGGGGTGGTTGTGTACGTGGTGTAGGTGGCCAGGACCACCGTCACGCTCCCCCCCCCTTTCCCCGTCCACACACCAATATTAAACACTTACACACCTCAACTGAAGTCACTACAACGTCTCTGGGAAAACGTCAATTGTTGGAAACTTGCATTGAATAAAATGCTTCAGAAATCTTAAAAGTCTATATATTTCAATTACAAAATATATAAAATCTAATATTTCATATTAAATGACTCAATCATGCCATCTACTCCGACCGGCAGTAGGGTGTAGGCCTACTCTGAGATGGGGAGGAGAGAGAATGTGATTGGGTACAGCTGAAGACTCCCTGGTGACCACCCTAACCAGTTATGGAAGGTTGTTATTGTGACCACTATAACCATCCTGTGTTTTTTTTTATTATTATGTTCTACCACAGACGTGGCCACACATTTACAATGCTAACCAGCATATATACATTTTCTTCTGTCCTCCGTGGACAGGGTTAGAGATGTGTTAAACATATAGTTCAGGGGTTTATTGAACAACCAACCACAGAAGGTGATTGTAGTGCCTTTAACATGCTAATGTAACTACAGATATAAATACACAGAAGCTGACCTGGAGAGGGTTGTGGGAATTGTTCTACTCCCAGAGCCCGGCCTCTGGCCAGGCCCCATAGATGTCACATATTCCTTTCACAAACTGTATCATAATGGTGTTCTTGCTAAGTGGTGATGACGTAGTTGGGGTGGTGATGATGTAGGGTAGTAATGATGTAGTTAGGAAGAGAAATATTGCCTCAACATAACTGAAAATCGTCAAGAAACCTGGACAGTCAGTGTACATGATGTTACGGCTGTGTCCACTCACAGGATGAGTGACGCTGCCCAATAAACTCGCCCCTCAGGGCAACAAAAAATAACATTTTTGTGCAAGAAGTGGCTGACTATAGTGGACTGTAATGGCTATATAGACGTGCTGGCCGCCGCAAGCAACAACCTGATGGGTCAAGTGTCACACGTGGACCATGGCCGAGCCTGTGGGGTACACCCCTCCTCCCCCCTCCAGACACAGCTGCTGATGGTGACATCACCATCAAGCCACTAAACTAACAAGTTGCTCCAGCCACGTGATAGGAAGCCCAACATAAACATTACGAAATATGTTGGCCGCAAGAGAACACTGTCAACATCACATGCTCCACTCTATGTCTCTATCCCCCCACCTTCCACACAACACTAATGTGGGCTGGGATGTTGTGGGCTGGGGGAGGATGTTGTGGGCTGGGGGGTCGTGGGCTGGGGGGTCGTGGGCTGGGGGGTCGTGGGCTGGGGGGTCGTGGGCTGGGGGGTCGTGGGCTGGGGGGTCGTGGGCTGGGGGGTCGTGGGCTGGGGGTCGTGGGCTGGGGGGTCGTGGGCTGGGGGGTCGTGGGCTGGGGGGTCGTGGGCTGGGGGGTCGTGGGCTGGGGGGTCGTGGGCTGGGGGGTCGTGGGCTGGGGGGTCGTGGGCTGGGGGGTCGTGGGCTGGGGGGTCGTGGGCTGGGGGGTCGTGGGCTGGGGGTCGCCCGTCCAGTAAGGAAGCTTGGAAGAATGAGAGTGTAGGAAAGATGGGAGGAGGAGGAGGGGTGCGGGGGGCTT